CTCATTAAGATCTAGGCACCCAACCTCCGGGTTGTTATTTTGCTAAAAAGACCTAAGCGTCCTCATTAAGACCTAGGCACCCAACCTCCGGATTATCATTTACCGAAAAGACATAGGCGTCCTCACCTAGGCATCCTCATTAAGACCTAAGCACTCAACCTCTGAGTTATCATTTACCAAAAAGACCTAGGCATCCTCATTAAGACCTAGACACCCAACCTCCGGGTTGTTATTTTACCGAAAAGACCTAGACATCCTCATTAAGACCTAGGCACCCAACCTCCGAGTTGTCATTTTCCTGAACACTCAACACTTGTTCTATTAATCAACACTCAACATGACCCCCTCACAACAATCAACACTTGTTCTCTTAATCAGAACAAAGCTACAAGCAAACAAAACAAAAACAAGGAATAATTGAAGGCAAATTCCAATTACAAACTTCATTGCAAATCTTTATTACAAACTTTATTACATTAAACATGTCGATATTTACAAAAAAGAAAAAAGATACAAGCCCTCAGATCTCTTGGCCAAGTCTGGGAGTAGGGCTTGGTAGGTCCTCTACAGAGACTGCAGGGGCGGGAGCAGCAGAAGAGGAAGTAGGAGGGACTTCTCCAGGGTCATCCCCTGATTTGTTGCCTCGATCTCCTTTAGGAGGTCAAGATAGCAGGAGACTTGGGGAGGATAAAGGTGGTCAGGCGCGGGACGAGAGATAGGAGGGAGCAATGAGGCTAGATAGTCGACACCAGCCTTGCAAGCTAAGGCCACCTTGGTTTTTCCTATTCCACCGTAATTCTCTATCAATTCTATTCTAAGGGGCATTAGTGCCAGTCATCGACCACCTTTTCCTTCTACTGCTCTGAGTTTAGGAGAGTGAGCTAATCCTCTAGGTTCTTGATAATTATGGCGGACATCTGGTGAGCCGACCGCTCCTCCTTAAGGTTCCGCTTCAGTTGCTCGGCCGAGAGACGACTTGATCGAGCATTCTCCTTAGCTGCCACTTTGAGGTGCCTCTCGGACTTGACCTCCCCCTCCAGAGAACCTACAAGACCGTCCCGCACAGAAATTCCTTGCTGGAGGCGGCCAATCTCCTCCCTCAGCTGGGCCACATTACCTTGGAGCTTCTCAATGGAAGTCGTCTGCTTGGCGCTGTGAGATCTATACCCCTTAAGGATTTTATCTTTTGCGTCCAGCTCCTAGTGCCGCCTAGCTTCATTATTGTTCAGCTCAGCCTCAAAGGCGGTGACCCTCTTCTCCACTTCCTCCATGGCTGACTTTTCCTTGACCAAGTTCGCCTGCAACTCAGAAGGAGAGTTGTGCATGTAGGAGACCTGACATAACAGCTTCGACTCCACCAATGCCCCTGGATTAAGTAACTCTTAAGGGCCAGGTACAAGTTGACGCTTAGCATCTCCCGCAAGAACATCTCGTCCTTTGGAAGGGCAAACTGTTGGATAGTTCGGACTTGGGTAGTCGTTGACGCTAAGACCGATCTCTCTCTATCGAGAGGCACCTCTGTGATGAAGCTATCACCCTTCGAGACCTCCCTTCAGGGCAAGCAGGGGAACAATGGCACTCAAGTAGCATGCCCTTGGACTTCTCTTAGAATTGAGGGTCAAGCTCCGCAACCTAATGGTGGAAAGGCCAGTCAAAGCTACTCTCATGCTCCTCACCGGCCTTGCCCGCCAAAGGTTCTGAGGGGGCATTGCTTGCACGTCGGTGCCTCCCGAAGTCCTGGCAGGATCCTTGCTTGACTTGCGGGATGACGCAGGCCTAAGGCTCGAGCTGGCTGTCTCCTCAGCAAGAGCCCCAACTTTAGCAGTCGCGATTGCTTGTGCCCCCCATTGGCCTAGGGGGAAGAGTCATCGATAACAAAGACCTCAGCCTGCCGACCAGTTGGAACGACCGGCTATTGCTCTTCGACTGAGTCGACCCGGACCTACCCAGTAGGCCTACTGGGCCCTTGGTCCTTCTTAGCCTTCACCCTTTGCTATGCCAATTAGGCAGCGATCTTGGCCACTCGTGACCTCAAGCCACCAACCTCCTCAGGGTCTAGATTGCACCTCAACCTCTTCTAGGGCCTCGAGCCGAGCCCGAATATTCCCCCATCGAATTCCTCTTAGGGATTTTTTCCAAGGGGAGGGCCAACAAGCTTGCCCTCACCTTATCAGCCTCAGTAGGGGGAGGACCATCGATACGCTCGCCACCCGGAGAGATGCCACCCTCAAAGAGATTTCCTCTCTTCCGAGACCCAACATAAGAGTGGATCTTCTCCAGCTACTGCCTCTCCTCAGCGGTAAGGACGTACGACTTCAGCATGTCCTTGTTGATCTCAGGCCAGTTAGGGGAGGAGAGGATGTCGTCAGCCCTGAAGACCTATATGAACATCTCTTCCAATCTCTGTTCGACTCTGGAGTGTCCGGTACCAACTTGCAACCTCCAGTGTAGTGGAGGAAGTAATGGGGGTCCTTCTTTGTCGACTTGATGCTAACCAGATTCCCCAACAAGCGCATGCTTGGTGGGATGTCGACCCGGTGGCAGATCACCATGAAGCCCACCAAAACCCTAATTGTATTTGGGGTGAACTGAGAGGGGGATACCCCAAGAGAGACACACACATCCCTGATGAAGGGATGAAGTGGTAGCCGGATCTCATACTCTAGGTGGGCGATGTACAACGATGACTTGTTCTGGCCATGGCAGTATACCAGTTCATCCCCGCTCGGTGCTAAGAATATAAAGGCATTGGAGAGGTCGTAGAGCTCGTAGTACATCTTAAGGTCTTTGATGTAGATCTTTGATTGGATTGGCTAGAGAAGATCAATTCTCTCCTCGTTGCAGCCAACGATGGAAGTTTCAACAGCCATGGGAGATGATTATTGTAAGAATATTTGGGAAAGTTTGAGAGACAAGCGCTGGAAATTTAGAGAAAAAAGTTGTGAAGAATACATACCTTCGCTACTAGTGGGCTATAAATAGCACCCAAGGGGGACACGTGGAATAATCTGGATGGCCGGCTCATTTCAAAATGAATGGACGAGATTCACCTCAAAATCCCAAATGGTTCACATGAAACTCGAAGCACTGCCCCCTTTACTCCACCCCTCTTTGCTCGAAAATTAAAGCTACGAACCATTCCTTGATCTCTGATAACGTCATCATGTCGTTTCAAACAGTAACGTTTCACCTGCCTAATAAAGGCTTTTGCAAACTCACCAAATGATGTCTAATCGATGAACAGTCACCCAGACCTAGTTCACTCTCAATAGCCGACAACCAACTTCAAAGAAAACTCTCAGGCACTCGCCCTAAGGAGTTCAGATGCTAATTAGCAAAGGCCGTCGACTCGATTGGCTCTAAACAAAGACAAAAAACACAATAAACAACACACCAAAAACAACTATTCCAGTTCGAGACGTGTCTTCTCAACAAAGGACGAGCCCCCTCTAGTCAGCAGTTAAGTTCACAAGTCTATGATGAAGCTCATTTATCTAGAAGATCCAAAATAAGACTACAAGACAAGAAAAACAATTCAGGCTTAAAAATATATCTCTTTATTCATTTATAAGGAATATCTACAAGGTACATATATGCATGTATACAACACAAAAGCGAAAGACAGGAAAGTCCTAGGAGACTAAGAAATCATTCCCGCTCCTGGGGTCAAAGGCAAGGAGCCATTGGAAGCAGCTGATGGAGGAGTTAATCAGTCACCTCCTTCATCGATCCTCCTACTTAGAGCCCTGGGAGCTTCGTCATATGACCCCCCCCCTCTTCCTCACCAAGATTGAATCTCCCCTTAAGTGCTTCGTCATCCACCAACTCATCCAAACACTTGGCCACGATGAGAGGCTAGTGGAAGCAATCGAGTGAGTTCCTCATCTCAATTGGAAGTTCTGCCGAGAGGTAGTCGTACCCAATATTGCAGGCTGTCGCCACCTCTATTTGCCTAGTAAGGCCCTGGTGATACCCCTCTATGATTTCCTTACGGTAGGATTCTGACTCAAGGTGGGCATTGCGGCTTTGAGCCACGGCCAGGGACTCCTATAGGCGGGTGACCTTCCCCTAAAGTTTGACGAGCACTGCATGCTCCTCGTCCAGCTGACACTTTGCATGCACCGCCGCCTGCTTCTCGGCCTCAACATGTACCTTAGCGTGGTCCCTCTCCTGAAGAGCCTCATCTAGTCTCCTAGCCTTCCTGTTGCTCTCGTCTAGCTCTCGCCTAAGCCTGTTGACCTCAGAAGCTCTCAGGGTTAGCGTCTTAGCAGCCCGTTCTGAGTCGACCCCTTTGCCAGCCCTCAGGGAAGCTACCTTCCCTAAAAGCTTGAGATATGAAGTCCAGATCTGCTCCATCCAACCGAATATCTCTTGCTCCACCAATGCCCCTCGAACCAAGTAACTTCAAAGGCTTTGATGAAGACCGGCGTTGGGAACCCCCTTCAGGAACTCCTCATCCTAAGGAATCCAGAACTGCTTGACCGCCTTCGACTGAGTCAGGCGAGAACTAAAAACCAACCCCCTAACATTGAGATGGTGAGTAGGCTGGTAGCGATGCTCTGGGTTAGGCTCTTGTACATATCAAGGGCTGACTAATGAGGTACTGCCTCATTCTCTCCTGTCTGTCCTCCCTAATATCAGCCACTCAGTGAGGATAGGGATACTCCAACCCTGTGGGAGGTGCCATCTCCTCCACAACCGGCTCTTTCCCCTAACGGGATAACCCGCTGTGATGGACGGATGAGTCACCCTCATCAGCAAAGGCTCTGGCCTCGGTTCCAACCTCTTCCCAATAAGCCTCGAACTACTCTTACGGGGCCGACTCGTCCACATGGATGACGTTAGTCTCGACCATCTTGGCCGCTGCCTGGGGTTCTTGATCCTCATCTCTCCAGGCCTCCTCCTTCATCTATGGACGAGAGTGGTATAAGGCTTCACCTCGGTTGTCTTGGCCTCCATTGGGTCTAAGTTGCGGTGAAGATGCTTTTCGGGCCTAGCTGATGGATCTTCCTGAGGGTCAGCCAGATGAGCAGATGTCGTCATCATTGTCTCTGTCGTTCATAAAATCAGGGCTAAAGCCCTCTCTTGATCCTTGGCGGATGGAGGCATAATAGATACGTTGGTGACCCATAAGACCGAGTTGTTAAGAAGATGCTCGACTCGATGAGAGCCAACATATGCCTTGATTTGATCTAGCGCATCCCTTTCAATGTCGAGCATGTCACCCTCTATGAGCGCTTCCCTCCTTATCTCGGGCTAGTTCGAGCATCCTAACTCTAAGTCATCCCCCATAACACAAACAAACTTCTCCTTGCAATCCTTGTTCGAGTCAGGAAGGCTAGAAATGAGCTTGTACTTCCCCAACATCTGGAAATAAAAGTGGGGCTCGGTCTGGTTCACTTTATCATTCACCAGACATCCCAAGACTCACAGAGATGGCTTTATTGTCAACCAATGAGAAATCACCATGAACCCCACCAAGGATGCAATGGCACTCGGCTTCATCTGGACCGGCGATACCCCTAAAGCCGTAAAAACTTGCCGAAGAAAGGGGTGTAGGGGCAGCCACAGGCCAAACTCCAAGTGCTTTAAGTAGTGTGGACCCCGATCCAGCCTTAGATCATAGACTGCCTCCGACCTCGTTGGGGCCATCAACTTATACTCTAGGGGGATATCAAACCTCCCATGGAGTATCCTCTTCTGTTCCTGGGTCACGTTGGAGTGGAACTCCGCCAGAAGAGCTCGTCGGTCTATGAGATCTGATGACATCCTAGAAAGGATAAATGATCACCGAAAAAGATAGGCTCAAAGATGTTTCCTCAGAAGGGAATTTTAAAAGATAATAATCGCCATCTCCATGGCCCTGGTTCTATATATACGTAGTTGAATCTGTAGCTGCTGGAATTTGAACGGCATGATCAAACTTTGGCTAACAGGCAAGATTCATTAGAATTCGAAGCAGCACCTCAAGGATCAATGCGCAACCCACTTACCTCGAATAGCCCATAATCAACCACGAAAAGCGGAGTTATGGCAGCCAAAAAGAATGTGTGATGATGTCAGCGACGTAAAATCTGAAAATACTTTTGAGTTCCCTCATTTAATGCACACCCACGTTCGTCCAAGAGCCACTCTCATTTCACTCGAACCCAGACCAAGCCGACTACAAGTGAAAGAGGCTAATTGTTCTGGTATTCTCAGTCACCAAAGTATGGCCCTTTGCCAGCAATAGACAAGTGTTCCCCTGCGTGTACCGTTAAAATCAAATTGATGGTTAGGACCACCAAGGATCCTGACTTAGCCGACTCACCGAATCGACATCTCCTTAGATCGACTTGAAGGGTGGCACTTGTCGATTCTCTTGCCGAAGATGACTTGCTACGAGCCCACTCGATCAATTATTCGACGTACGCGGGGTTGACTCGAAAGGCATTACTTTTCGACCAAGCTAAAGGACAACTTTAACCTCGAAGCTCCCCACTAATAACGTGTCAGCGTTACATTTAATGATTGGCAGGTGCCTGAAAGTACCCTAGAGGGGGGAGGGGTGAATAGGGTAAAGCTAATCTAATCCGATTACGATACCAAATTAAAACTTATAATGCAATATCCTAGCAATATGATATACAAAAAGATATGCAAGGATAAACAATGAGACAATAAGCGATATAAAAACAAGCACAAGATGTAAAGTAAAATAGTGCGCCAAAGACAATCGCATACACAAGATATGATCACGGAGTTCGGTCAACCCTTGACCTACGTCTTCGCTCCTCACCTCGAGGAGATCTCCACTATCACTCAAGAACTACACAAAACGGTTTCCAAAGTTCACCGAAAATATTTACAATGCACACGATGTCAATCACACAAATCACACTTCTCTATGTGTTGGACTACCCATGCAACTACCTCAAGTGTTTGGAACTACAACCTTTCACTAGGATTTACAACCAAACCACTCATCTTGGAATTAACCCCAGTCTTTCCCAACCACTCCTCTAAGTGTCCTTATCTATTACAATGTGTTTAAACAATAAGTGCGAATATGGAATTTTGTTCTCTAAACAGATGAGAACGAAATATAAATCTCTCTCAATAACTCACTCTCACAACTCAATTTACTAGATATGAAATACTAAAGCTTAAGTGTGTGTGTGTGTGTGTAAACAATGAGTAAAACAAAATCAAACACAAATAAATTTAGTATATATATGAGAATCAAAATATAGATTAGCTAAAGAGAGCGTTTAGAAAACTTCTCCAAAACAAGGAGAGATAAAGATTTAAAGATGAACGTCTCAAAAACAAAATTGAGATCCTTCTCTTTGTAAAACTCTTTTTTCCACCCAAACAAACACACTTGATCTTTCTAAAAAAGTGAAACAAACAGGTAAAACTCTCTTTTTTGTTCAAATAAGTCTTGAGAACTATTTATAGCCTCTCAACAAAATCAAATTAAAAAATAGTCGTTACAGTAAAAATAGTGACGACTCAGTC